CATCTGCATATGTTTGTGTAAGCTCATGTTAATGTGTTTAGTGGTCAGTCAATGCTTCTTGCCCTCTCTGACACACAGCCATCAATGTGTGTGTGTGTAAGCATGTGCCAGAGCTCTATTGATAGACCATCCGGAGGTCCTAGACCGTCGACATTGGGTGATTGTTTGGTATTAGTGCTATTGACACTGTGCTGAAAACAATAAGCTGTGTGCATTCTGTTGCAGAGTGTGTGTGTGTGTGTATTTGAGTCATTGTCAATAATCTTCAGCTTTAGGCAGATTACAAACTCACTTGATCCTTGCTGTCCGAGTTAGTGGTGGTTCAGATCAATGCGAGTACTATTGTTTACATGGACACAAGGAGAATTGTATGGATCTGAATGGATTGTCCTCGGACACCATGTTTTTTTCCCCCAATGATCAGGTACTTTAGGAAAGAAAACAATTGTTTACAGACTAACACAGCCATGTAACAAAAACACAAACAGATTTGCATCGTTTTAAAACTTCTTTTCTGATTTTGATCATTTCACAGCTAGGTTACAATGCCTCATAAGAATTCTCAAAACCCTAGAACCTTTTGAATTTTTTTCATGGAAACAGAACCACATTTCTCCATAATTACAGCCCTCTTCCAGCTTTATCAGCCAGATTATTGCCTATTTTTCTTTGCAGAATTACACAAACTCATTGAGATCAGATAGAGCATATCTGTAAATGGCTATTTTTAAGGACTGTAACAGATTCTCAACTGGATTTAGGTCCTGACTTTGATTGAGACATTCTAACTTATGAATATGATTTGATGTAGCTCTGCTGTATGTTTAGAGTCAATATCCTCCTGGAAAGTGAACCTTTGCCACATTATCACATCTGTTTTAGCCTCTACTTTTTTTTCAGACATTCCCTGTATTTACTTCCATCTTTCCATCTACTCTGGTCATGCTGTCCTGTCCATAGGACAGGATGCAACTAAAGTAAAAATTTTTCTTGGTGTTTGAGTTTGATTTGGTATGAAATTTTTTATAGAAAACAAAAACCTGGTAGCAGCAAATACAGAATTTCCCCAGGATACCCTGCTATCTCTGCAGCCATGGTTGATTTCTCATTTGTCCCTGCTTATCACAAAAATTTCTAAGAATCAGTTATCACCTCCGGTAGGAGAGATACAAACCCAGACAGAATTCCCATGTCCAGGAAAACTGCTTTGCTGTTATCCTTTTTTTTTTCCCAGATAAGGTTTTTGTTCAGAGGCAAGCCACTCCACAGATTTTTCTTCTACTTCATCTGTTCCTTCCTTTTTTTCCCCCCTTTCCCTCACCCTCTATCTGCCTGCCCGTCGTTCGTCCATCTATGTCTCCGGAGTACAGTGCGATAATCCAGGACAATATGTTCCAACATCTGCCCCTCCATATGCCTGACCCACGCTGTTGACCCTCTTTATAACACACACACACACATGCATGCATTTTCTTCCTCTCACACATCCACCTACCACCTTCTCCACCCATCTCTCTTTTTATCACATCTTCCTTTTATTTGATCCTCCTCTGCTTCTTCATCCTTTCAAGCATTATCAACATTTCCCAGTCTTTCTTTTTCCATTTGTTTGATGTGAATGATACTGTATCAATGGTATGAAGGGTCAATAGGGAGTCAAATTAATATGCTCTAATGCACAATGTCCCACTCATCCCTCAGATTAAGATGCTAAATGCCAACCTTGCACACTCCAAAGCCTCCATTGCCTTAAAAACGTTCTGTAGAGGATTCTGTGTTAAGCCACTATCGACTGGAAGAGCTACTCTGCACATTTCTATGGAGAATGTTAGAAAAGAAGATGACAGAAAGAGCTTTAAATCATTGAGATTAAAACATTTTTCTAAGAAATGCACTTATCACAGAGCTTTTGAGAGATCTCCTCTTAGTCGTCTTTTATCCTGTGTATTCACTTGTTATGGAGTGTCAGCAGGTCAAAAGCCATATTTTCTAAGCATGATTTCTTGCCTCTTATCTACAGTATGCATCAATTGAGGAGGGGAATATTCTCAAAATGCCTGCCTTTCAGAGCAACCCTATGGGAAATTGCAATACGTGGATACCATCAGAGTACTGTATAATAGTTAGCATTAACCTATTATATCAATAAATTGTTCTGTAAGGACCTTGATAGCAGCATTTGTGCATAGTTGTGCCTTAACAGTTAATGAAGTGTCACATCATTTAATCAGTGTGCTCTAACTCAGAAGGTGTATAAGAATAACTTCATTACCAATTTGTTAATGTTTACTGCTAATCTAAAAAGGGTTTTGAGTGGAAACATGTTTGCCAGTCTTCCAAATCTAAGTTATAACTTGGACCAATAAGAAGGAAAAATGGTTTGTTATATATTTAAGGAGATTCTACCATCATTTCTGGTCTCATGCAAACTAGTTGGTTTCACAATCAATGCAATTGGGCAGATAAAATGTTTCTTATGGAAATTAATAAAAATTCTTGGGTCACAACTGTGGATTATTTTATAAAACATTTAAATACACTAAATATTTAATAAAAACAGGCTCTCAAAGCTTAAGTTTCAATAGTCAACCATAGTTTATTCAAGCAACTAGCCAGACTTTTCTATAAAACCAGTCAAAGTCACTGTAGCTATAGAACTATTCATAGATTCATAGAACTATGAATAAACATCAGCTGTTCTATTTGTTCTGGTACTCAGTGGTAAAAAAAAAAAAGCAGGATAAACTCCACCATCCTAAAAACAAATTTTCATGTCCACACCCCTCTGGCATCCCATTTGACAACGATTGACCAGAGTTCTTTTTAGATGTACATTGGTATCTTCCTGTTTTTTGCTTTTTTGTACATTATTAGTTACATTTCTCTTTTAAACCTGTTTACCTATACTCTGTAGGGCTGACGCCAAATATCTGAGCTGTGTTTGGTAACTCTATATGAATTTTAGGAAAATTAGCAACAAAACCCGCTGCAGCGGTTTGCGAAGCGGATCTAAGCAGACTGGAGTAGAACTCCAGAAATAGTGCAGAATCTATTAAAAGTTGCTCCTCCACCATAGTTTTTTTCTAATGCCAGCTAATCCATTGTATTTTTGAGCCTCTTGTGATGTCATCGCGTCAAATACACAAAGTATGAGAATAATTTTTTTTCCCCCCGGAGTTTTAATAAATTTATATTTTCTAGAATCCTGCTGTGGAAATCCATACTTAATTACCCAGCTGGGTTATTATTGTCAGTGCACATTTGTGGAAGGAAAACAAAAACACAACTGTATAGTATCCTTAAAATACATCTTCAGTGATAATTCATAATTCACCAATCCAATGGATTTGGTCCATTAATGTTACTGTAGCCCCTTGCACAACACGGTATCTTTATAGTTTCCAAGCACATACACCAAGGAGCCAGCTGGTGTAACTATAGTGCATGTAGCATCTATGTTGCAGATCTAATTTATCTTTTAACTTCTGCCCCACTGACTTATTTTAATAAAGATAATTTACAGCTTTATTTTAGAACTATATCTAAAAATTGAGAGGGATAAGTCTAAGGTTGCAAAGTCTGGTCTGATGAAATTAGTAGAGTTTAATGAAAACATTTTAAAACATCTTGGTTTTAAAAGGTTAACACTGCTTGCTTAGTGGTACATATTTGCTTCTCATCCATTTTCCATTCCTTACATAAAGGTTAATTAAGAATTAGTAAAAATGGAACAGTTGGCAGCCCTTTGTTGTCAACAGGGGGCTTTTGACAGGTTTAGATCTTATATTGTGTCAGTAGGGGTCTAGGGTGCCCTTCAATAGTGCAATTACACCAGTGTCATATTCCCTACAAATTAGTATCAGCGGTGTGGCGAAGGTACTCTGTTTGTGACAATTATAATATTTTTATATGATATCACTATGTCTCTGCATGCTAAACCAGACTATAACTAAGATTTTTTCGAGTTTGTGCTTGTTGATCCCTCTCTGACGCTCTGGGTCAGATGTTCATCCACTTGTCCTCTTTCTGCAGAACCACTATTTAGCTGCGACTAAGGTTATCGTCGTGTCTCGTCTGAGCAAGAGAAACACCTCCTTATCAAATGAGGGCGCCATTACAGCCCCAAAGGAAATCCGTCCACACTGAGACATCTGCACTCGTGTTAGCCTGGGCAAATCTGTTCGTCTCTGACAAAGCCTTAATCTCAGCAGGCAACTCTGTCAGTGTGAGGACAAAATCTGTTACTGAGATGATTTGTTTTTCTACTTGTTGTGTTTTGTGTTTTTTTTACCCCTTAATGCTGGTTAAAAAAAAGATAATCTAAGGTGGATAAAGCTGTTCAGCTGGAGATTTTAAGTGAACACAAGTGAACATATGGACAGCTAGATTGAAGCAGCAATATCAGACAGAGAACATTATTCTCCAGCTAAACACACACCTTACACATGAGTAATAATGAAATCAGTGTCGACAGCCGGGCCCGTTCTCTATGATAGAGTTACACAGCTATTACATTCACCCTGTTGTGTCTAGCATATGGGGAGGCACGTTTGGCTGACAGGTGCAAATGTATTGCGCACGCACTGTGTCAAACCCCTTAACCCGTATTTTCCCCATCATTCCCTTTGTGTGTGTTAGCGGTCAGCAAAAAGACATGTTAATGTACGTGACAACCTGCGTGTGTCAAAGCAGCTGCTCCCCCCAGACATCTGCTTGTATGTGTGTTACATTTAATAATTATTCACATCAAGAAGGCAGAGGTGACGAGCCCAATACTGGAGATTAATGTGTTTTAGAAAGGCAGCTGATGGGACACCCGTACAGGCTCTTAACCTCTGAGAGAGGGGGCCACAAAGCCTGTGTGAATTTTGGTGGAAGTGTGTGATGTTTGGCTTGAAAATGGACCAAACACACAATCATCCTCCTTATAAGTGGGAGAGCAGATGATGTGTTAATGTGCAAATTGTGGTGAAAAAAGTAGGACATTTGGGCGCAGCACTGATGGTGTAGAGGTTAAGCACGCAACCATATACAGAGGCTACAGTCCTCGAAGTCCCAGGTTCAAGTCCCGGACCCGGCGACATTTGCCGAATGTCTCCCCCTCTCTCTACCCCCTTTCCTGTCTACCTACTGTCAATAAATAAATAAAGCCCACTAGTGCTGAAAAAATATCTAAAGAAAAAAAAGTAGGACATTCCATGAAACTGTGTTTTTAACATATTTGCACATATAGATACACTATTTAATAATTTTTTAACAATAATAATATATGAAGTAATGGAAACCAAACAATTAAAACTGAAGAAAGAAAATTTTCTCCAAAATGGTTTTTTACAAAAACATTCGATATCTGGTGGACAAACACACACATGCATACGTTTTCAGCATTTAGAAGGAGGTTTGCTCTGTTTACATATTTACTCTGGTGCTCTTCTGACTGGTTATGTGAAAGTGAACACCATGGTAAGATCGAAAGAGCTGTCTGAAGCCTTCAGACAGAAGATTGTTAGCAGCTATGAGTCTGAAAGGGTTAAAAGTCTCATAAATTTTGACAAATATTCCACTGTACAGAAAATTGTCTACAAGTGGAGGAGATTCAAAGCTACTACAAAGATGCCCAAGTCTGGCTGTCTAAGCAAATTTACCCTGAAAGCAGACTGCAAAATGCTAAAAGCAGTTTCCAAAAACCCTGAAATACCATCACAGAAGATACTGTAGTCTCTTTCTACAGTTGATATAAAAGTGCATGCCTATACAATCAGATAGACTGCACATGTATAATTTTAGGGGAGGTGTGGATGGAGGAAACCTTTGCTCTCTGAAAATGCGTAATGGCTAAGCAAAGGTATGCCAAAAATGTTGTTCAAATGTCAGTAAATTAATACTTGCATAAAATGCAAACTTGCGTCGAAATGCCCATACCAAAGTCCTGTACTTAACCAATAGTAGAGTATTCTTAATGTTTTTGACAAAGAAAGTGAACCACACATTTTCAATGTATGCCCACAAATTATATCACATATGCCTGCCCTGCACCCTCACCGACAGATACACGTTTTTAAATATTCCCGTATTCCTAAGTTCATACAGACTTTTCTGGAAATCAGAAGGCATCCAAATACAATAAGGAAGCACGTTATTGTACATGCTGTACATTATTTGAATAATTGATATATTTGAAGACTGGATAGTTCAAAAATCAACCAAATAATGATGTTTCAAGGTCTGTAAAATATTGAATATTGAATTGGATGGTTCATATTCAGAATTGTTATAGCTCTCTTTTGTAACATGTAGAATTGTAGTGTGTTAGTTTTATGTTTTTATCTAAATCATCAACAGTCTGAAATTATGAAATTATGAGAAATAAGGAGAACACACCAAGTGAGTTTTGGTTTAAAATCTCACTTGGTTAATATTATAGACTTGGTTTTATCTAAATTGATAATTTATTAAACAATTTCTTTCAACTTATTTTCCACCTAACTGCATTCAAATTGTCAAAAACAAAACAAATTAGTTTAATCTGCAAATAAAACAAAATACAACAGTTAAAATTATAAGTTTTATCAGTGTACAATATAAATAATTTAGGACCAAGGATGGAAACTTGAGGGAACCTACAGGTAAGTGGGTAAGTAACTGACTGAACTTCATTTTCATTCAAAAATTAGGAAGTGCTTTCTCGAAGGTTTTAATATGCCTTGCAATATGTAGTAATAAACAAATAGCCCTTATTTTTAATAATTAATTTAAATACAGCTCTATTATTGTATGAGAGTTACTCTCTTAAGGTAAAAGTTAAATGATCACAGGGCCATTTTTCTGTCAGCAGCGATTGAAAAATCTAGATCATTCATTATGGTTTATCTGAATATCAATGTCCTACATGTGCTGACACCCCCAGTCAGCCACTCTACAGGATGACATCAATCTTGTTCTCTTTTTATCTCAGGAAAAGCCGCAGGCTAAGGTTGCATTTGTCAGATCCATGAGATTTTTAAGCGTTGACCATGGAGATCACGTTCTGGCTGTATCTCTCTAATGTCCACACTTTGGCGGAAAGTGACAGCTGTGGGTCCCCTCCTGCCTGCGACTCTGTTTGCGGCTGTGCATGGAGCAGGGCAGCATGTGTTGTGTGAACGCTACCGGGCTTTAGGGATTTGTTCACAATGACAGCATTTACGAAGGAAGAGACAAACTGAAAAGTGTTTTCTTGAAAGTGCAAAAGTCATTCTTGATGTTAAATACAAGTTGCGTGCTTGCCCCCTGGTGTATTTAGCCGATGATGCAGACTTACTTGTAGCTGCAGGGGTCCCAGACCGGGGGTGGCGGCAGCAGCAGCGGCCATTGTCGTGGGGATGAGCTGGAGAGGGTAGGGGTCACCTGAGGAAAGCCGAAAAGATTTGTTTTTAACATTTTGCTCCCTTAAATTGAAACATCAACCAAAACATTCCTTCAGGTGCATTTTACACACCAGTTTCTTCTTAGACTCTGTTTAAATCCTTGTATGGCCAGTGCCTCTTTCTGTACCAAATTATCTTTTTTACTCTGTCTTAATGCCCCTCACCGTTTTTGTGCATCTTTTTATTGTAGTCATCCCACCTTCATCCCTCGCTTCTCTTGCATCACCCCTCCTCCCTCCCACCACTACCACCTGAGTCCCTGTCTGCAGCTGCTAAAGCCCTCCTTTGTGTTCTCCACCGGTAGGGCCCTAATGAAAAGCCTGATTGTGTGTCCTCCTCCTTAATACCCCCTGACAAAGAGCAGCGAGGTGAGGGGATTCTGATAAAGCCGGCCCCAGCGCTGTAATTAAGAGCTGCGAACACAGAATGTTACCCCCCACCCCCAAGCTTGGCTGCCTTTTCTCCAGTTCTGCTGTAGGTGCTCATCATCTTGTTTCTTCTTGGCTTTCTTTGGGTTGTCATCTTTCACTTTTTTTTAAGTTAGCCTCTTCTTCTTTTTTCTAATTTTCTATAATCTAGGTGTTTCCCTTCTGCCAGGAATAATAAATGAAGGAGACAAATGAAACTAGAGCAATGACACATTAAAGGTTCAAGAATAGGGAACTAGAGAAAGCATGAAAGCAAAAGGATGAGTTTGGGTTTTTAGTTAGTAGGTGCAGATAGGCTGAGCTGTAATTACTAGAAGGAGAGACAGGGGAACAAAGAGGTTCAAGATTAGGGGGAAAGGATATGGAAGAAATGGAGATACACAGAGAGGATATTGTGTTTAATTATGATCATATTTTATGAACATATTGTTTGACAGCCCTGATTTAAATTTGAACCTGCCCACTAACCACAGCGCACTATATGGAGGAGGTCAGGCATGATTTCATACAGGAAACTTCAGTCTTCATGGAGAAAAACTTGAGAATGCTCTCTGGGCTTGAACTTGACCTAACCCTTCAGTGCAGGGCTCAGCCTCTTGGCTCTATCAGAAACTCCCATTGTGTGTATGTGCTTATGCAAATTTGTGTGTGTGCGTGCACCCTAGCGTGGCATAAGCCAGACTATCCTTACAACATATTTTCCCATCTAATTTGGCTCTTTAGAAAAAAAAAAAGAAAACAAGAAAAAGCAGAGACATTCTTGTTTCCAGTGGGGCGGGGGCAAGAGGGATTAACAAATTATTTCAGGACTGAGATTGGTCTTTTCTACTTGCTTCCTAAACAAACATGAGTCCAGTGAATATTTATGCTCCTCCTGGGGGTCGCTGTAACAAAAGGGAGAGGGACAGGGAAAAGCAAATATGTTGCTCTTGGCTCAGGGACAGAGGCAAACTAGGCTGAGACTTTTCACCAACGAACAGATGAAGGACAAAGATGAATGGTGGAAAGAGAGAGAAATATAACAAAGATTATCAGCGTCAACCTGGTGTCATGTTTCAAACAGTTTAAGATTTACAAAAATCTTTTAGGCACGTCACCAAGTCCTGTTTGATTGTCAAGAGATGCTCTTGGAAAGTTCTGAAAATGGTTTCCAAATTTCTTACCTGACTTTTAGACAAAGTTTTTGCCAACAGGTCAGCACTTAGTGTTCTCCTATAAGGTTTCACAAATTTGGTAGCATAGGGAGATCTTTGACCATTGCTCTTTGCACAATCTCTAGAATCTCCAGAGTCCTGGGTCCTTTGTTATGAACTCTTCTCCTTATGTTCAAAGATTCACTGATGCTTTACATTATAGGTTCTTGGGGTCTTTGGAAGGAAAACATGCCAAAAGCATCAGAGATCCTCTACCATCCATAACAGTATGGTGGAGGATCATACTTCCCTCCAACTGCAGAAAAATGCAGAAAAGCATTTAATAGTTCTTTTATGCCAGACCCACTTCTTAATTTCATCTGAACCAAAGCATGTGGCTCCAGTTAAAGTCCTAGTAGAGTTTAGTGAAGTCTGCATGTTTGTTTGCCATATTTTATTCCCAAACAGTCCATTGGCATATAAATGGCCTCTAATGGTTGTTATGGAGACATTTTGACTCCAAGATGCCACTCTTTGCTGCAGATCTCCAACAAAGATCTCTAGAAATGTTCCTTTTTATTTGAATCTTCATTACTATTGTCCTCACTGTGTGTGGGGGCAAGGCATAAACTGCAAAAACTCTCAAACATTTGCACAATAAAACGATATTGTGCAAATATTCGAGAGTTTTTGCAGTTTATGCCTTGCTCATTTTAATTAATTCATCACTGCACCTTATTATCGCAATCATTAGGGCTTTTTAGTGGTTGACTTTCTTTTCGTTGAACTGCTCTGATTATGCATTGTTTGTATGGAGAGACATAATTTGACTTCACTGTGTAAATGCAATCAACCGGACGTGGTTGACGTGATTTAAAAACTAATATGGGTCCTCATCCAGCTGAAATCAGTGGTCATCTGTGTCTCTATGCCCTAGGGAAACAGGAATGTGTGATACTGAATTTTCTCGATCAATAAACTTATCCGTCTCTCCAACTCTGACCAAGTTTCAAATTTCATGATTGCTTCTAAGGTCTTGAAATGTCAAGAAAATCCAACAAAATCCATTTAAAAATCAGATTTTTCTTATGATTATAAAATCTGCAGTTTCAGTCT